AATCGATGAGGGCAACTGGCCGAAAGGATGGCGGCCCTGGACAACGCTTGCTGCGTGCTTCTTCCTCATGTTTAACAGCTGGGGCCTCGTCAACGCCTATGGTACCTTTGCGTCGTATTACAAGGACGTTTTACTCCCCAACCAGGATGCTCTCTTCTTCAACTTCTTCGGCGCTACCGAGTGCTTCATGGTGCTCGCCCTGTCTGGCGTCGTCGGTCGCTTGCTGGATGCCGGATTCTACCGCTACCTCACGGGCACGGGATTCGTCATCACCACTCTCAGCTTCTTCATGCTGAGCATTAGCAATGGCGAGGGCAAAAAGGGCGATGGCAACGTCGGCCTCATCTGGCTTACCCACGGCTTTCTGGACGGTCTGGGCATGTCTTGCTTCTTTGTCTCCAGCTCGCAAAGTGAGTAGCCCACTTTTGGCATTGCAAACTGTTGCTAATCTGTGCAGTCGCCGCCACGTGGTTTGTTAAACGGAAGAGTTTGGCGATTGGTATCGTCGCATCTGGTGCCAGCATCTGTAAGTTGTGTGTTGGGTGTGGCAGGATGATTTTGCTAATGTCTAATACAGCGGGTCTTGTCTACCCTATCATGCTGCGCTTCCTCATCACCAAGATTGGGTTCAACAATGCAGTCCGCGGTGTTGCAGGCCTCATCGGCTTGACCGCTTTGTTCTCGTTCCTCTTTGCCGTTCCCAACCCAGAGGCTCGTGCGCGCCCGCCCAAGACGTGGAAGAAGCTGAATGTTTGGATTGACCCCGAGGCTTTCAAGAACAAGCAATTTTGCTGGTTTACTGCCGCTATCGCCTTCATGTTCCTCGGCTTCTACGCCGTCTTTTTCAATCTCGAAGAGGTAAGCTTCCATTCTCCTCCTTCATCGACCAGCGCTAACGTGTACTAGTGGGCTGCGGCCAAAGGGGTTGGCTACAAGGAAGGCATTGCGACCGAGGCGGACGAAGACACTGACCGGCAGATGACGGCGGGTCTGGCCACCTACTACCTTTTGGCCATCATGAACGCAATGAGCACATTTGGACGTATTGGAGCGGCATGGGCAAGTGATCAGTACGGTTCCAACTCCCTCATCTGCATGAGCACGACTAATAATCAGTAGTGTCGGTGGCGTCCAAGTCCACACCGTCGTCGCCTCCGTCTGCTCCCTTCTTGTCTTGATTCTCTGGACTCTGACCACCACCTTCGCCGGCGCCATGGGCTTCATCACCTTTTTCGGCATCTTCAGCGGCGCCCTCATCGGCCTCCCACCCGCCAGCATGGCCTACATCCTCGGCAAGGCGCCAGCCCGGCAGGCCAAGCTCGGCCAGTGGACCGGCATGATGTACACGGCGGCCGCCATTCCGTCCCTGATCGGACCCATCATCGCCGGACACCTCGTCAGCGAGTTCGAAGACTACATTACTGTTCAGATGTGGAGCGGCACCTGTCTGGCTCTCGCCGCCATATGCATGGGCGTCACGTGGTGGCATAAGAGCACTGAGCTTGCTGCGGGCGGTCCTCCAACGACCATCGCGGAGCCTGCTATCCCTCTTGAAAGGGTACCAAGCCAGGCCTCGTGGCAGACGCGCGGCTACGATACCGACCGCCAGCAACCCGAAGGTGAGGACAAGAAGGAAGAGGAGATCTACGGGAAGGCTTAGACAGAAGTCTGGTTCAAAGCCTTGTCGGCTGCTCCCGGTGAGTGGCTACGACAAAGCTTTGGCTGAACTTACGACCGGCTCAAGCGACTGAGCCTTTACGATCGCTATACATACACGGCCGCTGTTCTCCTCGGATTATTCGTCTTGCATCCCTCACGTATTGTTTATGCTTGAGGGAATTGATCGGCTGCGACACATTCTGGAAACGAGGAACAACCAAAAGGACTTGCATGACTTTGCATTTGTCCATCATGACTTTTCCTTCTTTACTTCTCCCTACCTTTTCCATTTCGTCTCCATAGGGAGCCAGGCGTTCAAGACGACCACAAAACTGGTGTTGGTGAGAGGGATGGGATCATTGCACACTGCACACTGGAGGAACATATGGGCATACGCATTGCCGCAACATTATCGGCGAGCGATCCGACGTTCTAAGACATCGGCGCCGACGATCTTGCTTGTTTTTCATCTTGGAGTTTTCGCTCGATGGCGCTGCTGGCGTTTGATCTTTCAACGGAGGAGTCTTGTCTGTTGGCGTTCTGCTTTTGCCTTTTCGTCGTCGTTCGATCCACGAACCGACTGACTACCTGACGAGTCTCCTTGCTCTGTCAATGATGACGGCTGGCGCCCATGGTCGTGTCGATCGATGTCTGCGGCTTCTTTGTTTGATTTGAATCACTCAGTCGCCCTGGCACCATGTCGGCTCTGCGCTGCTCGGATGGTTGGGATGGTGGATGCGTATCACACGTAGATGGATTGATGCGTTGCGATGCGATTTGTATTTGATGAGATGGAGAGGACATATACTATAGGAGGGCAGACCTAGATACCTGGGCACCTGAAGAAATTCAAAAATTGTTTATTGCGCTTCTGTTTACGAGTGCACAATCGCAAGAGAACAATCCTCCATGCCATAGCTCTTCCACTGCTTCCCACCGACTTAGAAGCTGATGATGCTTTTCCATGTGTTTCACCACCTGACACTCCATCACCCTTTTTGGGCACACTTGGAAGTGCACAAGCCTTGGTATCTCTCGCTCTCGCTCTCTCTTTCCAGCTCTCTCACCGTCAAGTCGCACAAGAGAACGAGCGCCAGCGCCTACCGCACGTGTAGCCGGCTACCCATCCAGTTGGTCGGGCACTTATCCGTCAGTTATCCGCTGTCAATAGGTCGTGTTACCGTCCCAAGAAACGTCCCTCCCCTCCCCTCCCCTCCCTTTTTCCTCCCCTCTCCTCCCCGCCTACGCATCCCTTGCTGTTTTGCTTTGTTTCTGGCCAGCCGGACTATTTCATCTTATCGACGTTGGCGCTGGTAGTGAGCTAGCTTTGGTGTAGTGATCAAGCCCGCCCGTCATCCGGTACATAAATAGTTCCTTTGCTAGCTGTCCGCGCTGGCTGTCGGCGACGGTGGTGGTGACGATGGACTGCCAACGCCCCCCCACCGGGGGCCAGCTCTGGTTTCCTCAACAAACACCCACTCCCTTTCGGAAACAAGATCATCCTCAGATAAGCGACAAGGCCGGAACACTGCAGCTTGTGTCGGTCGACTTTGTTTCCTGGCTCTTGGAAATTCTTGTTTTTTGCTGACGCTGTGCCTTTTCGCCCGGCAACGATATTGTTCTCATCTATCTTTTCCCCTCCACTGCTTGGCAAGGGGTTCCAACAGCAAAAAGCAAGAACGGATCCTGCCTACCCGACTTATCATCGTTTTTTCGCGCCCGACACTGCCACCTCGTTCCGCGAAACCTCAGCTGCGGAACACTGCCTGTGGAAGGAGATGTGGGACGGAAGGCAAGCGCGTCGTGCCTGACTGACTGCCTCAGGTATCTGTAGCCAGCCAGCCAACCGTCCCTGCATCCAACCGCCTTCACTGTCCGCCTTTTCTCACCCAAGCTGACTCGAGCCCTCAAAGGGCAGCCAGCCCAAAACCCGCATCGCCGCTCCTCTTACTTTTCCATCATCCTCTCCTTCCCCTTCCCTCCAGCCTCCTCTCGCTCAAGCACACAGTGCAGCCCAACAAGCACTCAACCGTGTGCATCCGCCGTCCGCAACACTGCCCCACCGTCCCCCAAATTGCCCTCCCCTTCCAGTCCTTGGCGCTCATCAACACTCGCATCACCACCAGTCTCGGCGAAGCGGAGACGAAGGCAGGAGGTCGGTGCGTGACTTGACGGGTGGCTCAGGCTCCGGGAGCAGGATGTTGCCGAGCCGGCCGCCCGTTTGGTTGCCGCCAAGGCGGCGCCTCCCAGATCGAGTGATGAGTTGGCAGGAACGCTCGAACCGTGATGGATAGGATGCGGAGGGTGCGGAGCGGCAGGTACCGAGGTGGCCGAGGTGCGTGGGCAGATGGGGATGGGAATGGGGATGAGGGTGCGGACGAAAAGTGGAATGTTTTGGGAAGAGATCGGAGACGAAGTCGATGCGATGCGATCGTCGTCGTCATGTAGGTAGGTGGTTGGGGGTTGGATGGGTATGTGAGCATCGGGTCGGCGATGCCGTGGTGAAGGGCATGTGCAATAGGTGAGTACAGTAGAAGAAGACCACGCTTATGTCCGCAAACTGCGGGAATCTGGCCATTCAGTATTTCCACTTTAAACGTCCATCAACACTTTGCTTTCGAACAGTTGAAAGCCGGTGCGATGGAAGAAGGAGCAATGACAGGCTGCTTGAGAGAGCAGCATCAAGCCCAAACTCGATGCCAATCTTCCAGCAAACATCTCTACTGCGACAACCCATCTTCAGTGACGCGAAACAGGGCCTATCGCAAGATGGGAACAAACAGGAAACACTCAACTGGTGCAACGCGACGGCATTGCGAAACATGTGCCTGTCTCATGCTCTCTCGAACCAACCGACAGATTGCTCTTCTTGGAAGATGTTTGACTCCAAAGCTTATCGAAACGGGTCTCAGGAATGTTCAAATGCAAGAATTGCGTGATGCGATCGCGTGTTTGGAGTGTAGGTGGTGAGTTGTTCATGTTGCGGGATGAGTAGGTGGCAGCAGGGATGGTAGGAGGAAGGTGCAACTGGGGTCGGGTTGGGGTAAGGGGTTGTCGTGGGTTTCTGGGCAGGGGTCGATTCAGAGGGCAAGAGACCTTCTTATTGCGTACGACATGTTGCCCTTCTCGAATTCAGACTTCAGCCAGTCATCGTCGCAGACTCGTGGCTGTCGAAAATTCGTGCATCGTCAAAAATTCCGACCATCTCCAACCACGCCAGTAAATCATGGCCGGCCCTCCACCGGCTCTCCAAGCTGCACAGCGGCAACACCCTCTTCTTCCCTCTCCTCCATCCTCCAAATCAAAAGCCAACATGCCTATTAAGCTTGGCACAGTTTTCTGGTCGATTGGTCTAGTTGGTCATGACGTGGGTAAGGATGACCCCGCTTCTTCCATCTCTCCGCCGAGCAAAATTTTCCTGACAATTCTTCCTATAGGTCTCATATTCTGATATGATCGCCTCGTAGAGGTGAGCGATCCCGAGGTCACCAGTTCGATCCTGGTATCGACCATGCTCTTTTGCTCTTTTGCTGAGGTTGCGGAAGGGGGTGGGGAGGTGGTGGGGCGGCTGGGTTGGGTGGGTAAGAGGGGGAGGGGGAGAGGGAACAGGGGGTTGGCTTGAGTCCTGATTATGTGGGGTTTGTGTTGACTTTTTGACCTGCTGGTGGTTGCAATCTTTTTTCGGTGTTTGAATCTAATGGGTGAGCTTGCAAAGTCAGCAATGGATTCAAAGGAGCAATTCGAACTGCACGGATGTAAATGCATTATTGCTCATGAAGTATCTCCTCAACACTCCTAGAACTGGCTGATGCAAAGGCAATTCAATTTCATAGAAGACAAGCAGCCAAATGTCTGTGGCTGCCTTCAACCTGCCAAAGCGATGCAAGAAGGCACCTGGACAGAGAAGCGCCGAGGGGCATCTGAGAATTTCGATGAAGTTTTCCAAAGCCAACGCCAGTAGAACCACATGCTGAGAAGTGAGCAGTTCAACAACATTCCACGCAAACCTATGCAGACGACCATCTCAAAGCATCATCTTTCATCAACCAATTCCACAACTACACAAACGCCAACCTACCCAAAGCGGCAAAACGGCACGCGCCGCGCTAACCACGTCAGGCAACCCAAAAAATTTGCGGCTCTCGCAGGCGTCCGTGCGCACGCCCGTCCCCTCAATCCGCAAAAAAACTCTTCTCTCTTCTTACGTACAACTATGTGAGCAATGGCAGCAAAAGCGAAAGGCAAAAGGATACGGGATGCGAGACTTGAACTCGCGACCTTCAGTGCACAACGCGCTCTCGATTGAGAAGCTTGTTAGACTGACGTGATGACCAACTACACCAACCCCGCTTGTTGATGGAAAAAATCAAGGGGTTTGTGTTTATGTTGTAGTAGTAAAAAAGGGCTGGACAGGAGGTTGTCAAAAAGAGGGGGCTGAGGACGGCAGGGTCGGGTTTGGTGGACTCCTACTGGTGGCACTCGTTGCTGAGGAGAGGTGGAGAAAAGCTATTGGGTCATTTGGAGCCTTTGGGGCCCGTTTCGAGTGCTTTTGAATCCGGGGCATGGACCTCTTGGGACTCAAGGGATGAAGCAGACGTGGATTCATTGCGGGTTTTGCCTCTCACAAGCAATGCAGAGAAGCAGGAGACTGGAGAAAGAGATGGGGGTGATAGAAAGACAGAATTTCGGTTGTGTTTGACTCGACCCTCATCCGCTGGCGCCAGTCAGGGTGAGAATTCTACCGTACAATGCGCGCAAACGATACGTCGAGTACTTGACTGAAGGCAAAAGAGTTTGGTTGTAGATGTTGATTGCTCCTTGGAGCTCTGACAGCAGTATGATGAGAAGACAGTGGGATGCTCCGAGGCGACTGCCCAAGCCGTAGACTTGTCGGAAAACGCAAAGCGCAACGAGCATGACGAACAATGGACGAGAAGAAGCAAGGAAAGAAGACGCGGGAAGACGACACTAAAGCCAAAAAGAAACGACAACATCCGACCAAACTCAGCACCCCCTCCCCACATCTCCACAACTCACTTGCCTCCATCACATCACACCTCCCGCATCAGTCGTCCTTGCATTGAGCCGCATCACGACAGGCACCATCACCTTGTTCAGACAAGCATCCGGCGCGCGGACACCGACCCGAAACGGCGACCCGCTAAATACATAGCAGCATCATGCCGTTGCAGTGAATACGGCGCCAATACGAGAGCCAAGAGGGAGGGAGAGATGCGATGTAGTGGGGTAGCTGCAAATGGGAATATGATCGGAATCCGATCATATTCCCAAGCGGGTAGGGAACATCCTGGTGGTTGCTTGCGATGATGGAGAGAGTGATGTGAGAGAAAGGGTGAAAGGGAGACTTTATACAGCTTGATGGCTCTGTGAATGGCTTTGGTGAGACGACGTCGAGCAAAGGGATTGCGATCATCGGCCCCATCGTCATTGGTGCCAGTGTGCTTGGCTTGCATGCTGCGTTGGCTTGGCTGGACTTGGCCGGTTGAGAGGGGGGCCAGTGTCCGTCATGGGGGCTCAACAGTCAACGACAACAGAGTGAAGAATGGATTTTTGGCGACGACGGTGGAAATGGCAGGGAGAAGAGGAGAAGATGATGACGATGACGATGTTGCCAAGGAGAGAGAGAGAGAGAGGGTGCGGTGCAGGACCGCAATTGCGGGCAGACAATGTGGGGTGACGGCAGCGCCACGCACCAAACAACAATAATGACCCGAGACTCGGCAGGAAAAGCAGCAGCAACGGCAACGGCACTGGAAGCGTCGAGCATCCGAGAGCTGGGGAGTACCTATGTAGTACGGCGAGGTGGGCTCGCCATGGCGTGACGAGCGCTTGGCAGGGGCCGGGACAGACGAAGTGCGGTGTGCGAGGAAAAGGGACGTGAGAAATGCGAAGAGCGTCTTTCGTCCCCCGTCGTCAGTTATATAGAGAGCTGTCTGGCAAGGCTGAAGATAGCGCGCGGGCGAGTCACGATAAAGCTTGGTTGGGGTTGATCCAGCTGCTGGGTTGAAAGATGGGAGGTATCCAAGACAGATAGCTGCGTCGATGATACAGATATCCAGGTCTGGCATCCCAATTTTTGCAGGTACATGTACAATCGCAGAGCTGATGCCGGGACCCTGGCTGGCAACCATGTCAAGCTGTGGTGGTTCTTCGGCCTCCACGAGTCGTGGTCGATAGGCCACTTCCGTCAACCTTGATCTCTCAGCATCTGGCACCCGTCCGTCCTGCAGCCAACATCAATCTCAATCACCGTTACATCCATCCTGAGGCAGATAAGGTACACACAGCCTCATCACATCCCAATCCGACGACTTGCCGCATTGCGAACACATCTGGCAGCACTGCACTCACGACCTGCACTTCATACGTCACTCGACTTCTCGGGGACCGGAGCAAAGAAATACGGCAGTCTCCGCGCGAAAAAAGCAGGTATGCCCCAGGCGCACAGCCGCACGTGGGCACTTCCTGGAGCAGCCAGGGCAGCCGAGTGCCTTATTACCCCACGGGGGCGAAGAAGCCAGCACTGCGGTTAGAGTAGCTGGAGAGCGCAGAAAGTACCGACGAGACTACTGCATGCACAGCAGGGGCTTATCAGCCGGGCGAGTAGCGGGCGTCCCAGGCGGAAAAGCGAGAGAGTGGAGGCTCCGCGCCGGTGGGTGGCACGCCGGCCGGGATTGGACCGTTGCAGCAGGGCAACAAGCGCGATGCAGCGTGAGCAAAAAGTGGAAAGTGGGAGATTATCACGGTGGAGAAGCGATGATGGAATGAGAGTGCAACAGAAGCATCCAAAAGTGCCGGTCGGCAGTTGGCAAGCCCCCCCAGGCACCGGCTATTGTCATCCAGTGTGGGACGCGCGAGGGCAAAAAAGAGGTTGTGAGATGTGCCGTCTGGATAGGCACATAATTGCGGGGAAGGGCAGCTCTCGCTTGGTGCAGTCCGGGGTGCATGCGTCTCGACGCATGGACTGTTGGCGCAGCGCTGCAGAAACCCCAACTGGATGGACCGACTCTCAGCACTCAATGACGCTTGACTCGGCCTCTGACGCACCAACCCGCCGAGGACCGCAGGCATACTCTGCTGGCTGAATTGAGAGCGGCCGCCAAATCCTCCCCTTTTCGACCTCCTGGTCCGCGCCCACACTCCTCATTACTGGACCGGCTGCCAAGCTGCTGTCCACCTGACAGGGCGACTTGGCCCGGCCGGACGGCTCTGTTGCTGGCTGAAGAAATCCGGAGCGCCATCCAATCTGCCCGCGTTGGCAGCTCCTCGTGCTCTCGCGTGTCGTGATGGTCAAGGCCGACGGCGGCGGCGGCGCCCAGGCGTATAAAGGGAGCGCGCGCGCATATGAGGCCGCAACCGCATCCAGACGCTTCTGGCAATTCGCCGTCCTCATCCTGCTCGCCATCATGTGGACCAAATACGGCGCTGCGCTCGCGACGCTCGCGGCCCAGCAAGTCTTTGCTGCGCCAGCCATCACCAGGAGAGCAGATGCGCCCACCGCTTCGACCAAGAACGGTACTTATGTTGGCGTGCACTCGGCGGAGTATAATCAGGACTTCTTCCTGGGCGTGCCATTTGCACAGCCTCCTGTTGGCGACTTGCGGTTCCGTATCGCGCAGTCGCTCAACAGCTCGTGGACCGGTACGCACGAGGCGACATCGTACTCGGATGAGTGCGTTGGATATGGGGTAAGTCGTTGCAAAACCCAATGTCAATTAAGCTTGTGAGCTTAAATTAGAGCCGCATGCTGGGCAGCTGGGCATCCGAGAACCATTGGGTCGGGACCAAGAAAGCTAATTTGTCGCGTGCAGTCTGACCAATTCTACTACCCCGTCAACGAGGACTGCCTCTACCTCAACGTGGTGAGGCCGTCGGGATACGAAAATGCATCGCTGCCCGTCGCCTTCTGGATCCACGGTGGAGGATTCAGCCAGGGCGGCGGTATCGACCAGCGCTACAACCTGTCGTTCATTGTGCAGGAAGCGGCCGAGCAGGGCAAGCCCTTCATTGGTGTCTCGACCAACTACCGTCTGTCGGCTTGGGGATTCCTGAGCGGTGACGAGGTGCAAGAGGCTGGTCAGACCAACATTGGTCTGCGCGACCAGCGTCTGGCCCTGCATTGGGTGCAGGAGAACATTGCGGGCTTTGGTGGTAAGTGTCTTCGCGTCTCCTACACGTCATTAGCTCCAATGCCTCGAATATTAAACCAAATGCTCACCCACCGTGTCCACAGGTGACGCCAGCAAGGTGACCATCTTCGGCGAGTCCGCTGGTGGTGCTTCCGTCGGCGCACACCTCGTCGCCTACAACGGCCGCGACGACTCGCTCTTCCGCGGCGTGATCGCCGAGTCGGGCGGACCCATCTACTACGGACCTCTGAACACTTCGGCGCAGAACACCGCGCGGTACAATGCCTTGGTTGCAACCACTCCTTGCGCCAACTCAACCGCGCCGCTGTCGTGCCTGCGCACTCTCGACTATGAGACGCTCAACGCCGCCATCAACACGACCAGCTTCTCCAGCAGCTGGGGCCTGGCCATCGATGGCGACATCATCGCCGGAAAGACGTCGACCCAGGTTGCCAACGGCGACTTTGTCCACGTCCCGCTCATCATTGGCGCCAACAGCGACGAGGGCACCGCGTTCAGCTCTACCGGCATCAACGACACGTCCGACTTCGTCGCCGTGTTGACTTCGGGCGGCGTGCCTGCCAACATGACCTCCACCGTCCTCGAGTACTACCCCGACGTGCCGGCCGTTGGTATCCCCGGCTCGCCCCCTCTTGGCCCCCTGCCCCCTGACTTCCGCCCCCCTGCACCTTACGGCGCTCAGTACCGCCGCAGCGCTGCCTGGGCTGGCGACCGCGCCTTCATTGCTCCCCGCCGCGGTGTCTCTGAGGCGTGGGCCGCCCAAGGCGTTCCGGTGTGGAGCTACCGCTTCAACGCCATTCCCGCCGGCATCAGCCAGATCACGGCCGCGACGCACTTCCAAGAAGTTGCCTTCGTCTTCTACAACCTGCTGGGCGTCGGCTACCACGAGCCCGTCTCGACTCCTCCCTTCCAGGACATGCCGCAGAGGTATGCCGACCTGGCGGCGACCATGAGCAGCGCGTGGATCAACTTCTTCGTCTCGGGCGACCCGAACGGCGCAGATGGTCTGACACAAGGCGGCGTGGCGGCGGAGCGCTGGGAGGAGTACGCTCTGGACGCGCCGACGAATTTCGTTTTTGATGCCAATGTGACGAGCCACTCTGAGCCGGATACCTTTAGGAAGGAGGGCATTGCGTGGATCAACGCACATGCTTTGGATGTCTTTTCGAGGTAGATGGC